CCTCACCAATGTCTAATAAAGGGGAACGATCACGTCCCTCGATCTGCTGGCAATGCCCCTACTTATACAGCCCAAAATGCCGTTAGCCTTCTTGGCAACAAGAGCACACTGTCAACTCATATCCAGCTTCTCGTCCACTGTAATCCCCAGGTCCTTTTCTGCAGAACTGCTTCCTAGCCATTCGGTCCCCAGCCTGTAGCAGTGCATGGGATTCTTCCTTCCTAAGGGCAGGACTCTGCACTTATCCTTGTTGAACCTCATCAGGTTTCTTTTGGCCCAATCCTCTAATTTGTCTAGGTCCCTCTGTATCCTATCCCTACCCCTCCAGCGTATCTAACACTCCTCCCAGTTCAGTGTCATCTGCAAACTTGCTGAGAGTGCAGTCCACACCATCCTCCAGATCATTAATGAAGATATTGAACAAAACCGACCCGTGGGGGCACTCCGCTTGAAACCGGCTGCCAACTAGACATGGAGCCGTTGATCACTAGCCGTTGAGTCCGATGATCTAGCCAGCTTTCTTTCCCCGGCTACTAAACAGCTAGTGCATTCAAACCACTTCACCCAGCCCTGAAATGCAGCCACCTCTGATGTGGAGCATGGTAGCTGCTTAACAGTGACCAGCCACAAGGTATCATAGGTTAGGACAGGAGAGGAGGCTGCAAACCATTGCTGGGAGTTAAAGCGGCCGGGTAATTTATGGGCTGCTTTGGCCAGGACATCAGGGCTCAGACCCCGACTTCACCAAAACAACATTTCGAGGTGTTTAACGGCTGCCTGCGGTTAGGACTTGGTTGTTACGTGCCACCTCCAACAGCACCAGCCAGGGGCCCTGGGTTTAGGACTGAATCCCAGGGAAGAGCTCCCCCCCCGTGTTGAGTCACCCTGCGTCGGCCCAGATTCTCCTCTGATCTGAGTGCCGCCCAGGCCAGATGCTGCTTGGTGGTGGGATGCGGTTCTCTGCCTGTCCGAGGAGCGAGGGAGGGACTGGGGCGAGGCTGGGAGCTGTCCCTGGAGCAGGGCCATATGTGGCAATGGGAGGCTCGTGGCCAGTCCCCGGGAAGAATAGCTCAGCACACAGAGCAGCGCGGCGTGTTTACATCAGGGCAGAACAAGGTGTCCTGAAAGCAGAGCTGGCAGCACGGGGCGTGAGTCAGAGCGCGGCCTGGAAGCGGGAGCTGTGGAGGCTGCGGGAGAGTAGATAGGAGGTGTCGGCTGCTGGCACGGGGAGGGCGCTATTTATGGCCCTCGCTGCTATAAGTTGCCTGTTTGTCCCCAGGCAAGTATGTGGGGAATTTCACACAACATCCTCCTCCCTGGGACTTGCAATCATGACAACTCCAATTTCCTACCGCTGGCTGGGGGTGCCACAGTGAGGATTACACAGGAGCGGGGATGGAGTTCAGCAGCCCCGGCCCTAGGGTGACCAGACAGCAAGTGTGAAAAATCGGGACGGGGGTGGGGGGTAATAGGAGTCTAGATAAGAAAAAGACCCAAAAATTGGGACTGTCCCTATAAAATCGGGACATCTGGTCACCCTCCCCGGCCCAGAGAGACCCTGCAGTGTGAGCCAGCCGGGCTGCACCGTAGACCCCTCAATAAGAGTTTGGTCATTACGGATGGGCTGATCCTCTAACATCAGAACGGCCAGAC